TATTTTTTCATTATCTTCCAGACTTTTTTATGCATGACAAAAAAACTGATAAAAGCATACAAAAGCGTGGACACATAGCCTACAGTATTACAATTGTGTTTAAAATTAAATTTGTAATTATTGCTCCACAATAACAATCGTCTTTCTTACTAGGGTAGCTTTTATGTTTGGTCCATGAACTTAACCAGCAACAAACATTCAACGCTACACATCTCGATAATACTGTTATGGTTGTTTACTTTATTGGTCGAAATGACAGCAAACAAATGGATTATTGCAAAACAAGATGAAGATTTCATTGCAGCAATTAGGTTACATGGCAGGAAAAGTTATAGTGTGATGGTGTTTGTAGTACATAATGCACAGGCCTACATTATACTGCCTGACAAAAGTCTTGCCATCGATCCAGGTGTAAGAGCAACAAATAATTACAAACACAGCAGAAGACCTATTGGAACCCGCATGGACCCAAGATTCTTACAGAAATCAGTCAAGTTTGGTGAAGGAAAAATCATGGTTTGGGGTCACATTTAGTATGGAGGCATGAGAGAGATCTGCAGAGTAGATGACATTAACAGCCTAAGGTATCAAAATGTTTATGCTGCCTATTACATTTCAAACCACTGGAGAGGGCAAATTCTTCAGCAGGATAGCGCTCCTTCTCATACTTCAGCCTCCACATCAAAGTTCCTGCAAGAAAAGAAGGTCAAGGTGCTCTAGGATTGGCCAGCCCAGTCACCGGTTCGAACATTATTGAGCATGTCTGGGGTAAGATATAGGAGGCATTGAAGATGAATCCAAAGAATCTTGATGAACTCTGGGAGTCCTGCAAGAACGCTTTCTTTGCCATTCCAGATGACTTTATTAATAAGTTATCTGAATCATTGCAGAGATGTATGGATGCAGACCTCCAAGCCCCTGGGAGTCATATACAATATTAATTATTTTCCACTGCACTATGACGTTATATTTCTGTTAAGTGACAAGAATTTGGTCTCAGCAAAGTAAAATCTTACTCTCCTAATTAAATAATTTAAAGTCAAGGCATGATCATGTTTTATTTTGGTAAAATAAGCGTAATCTAGGGGCCTTTGCCTTTCATATAAGCCAATTCTGATACCAAATGATCAACTAGAAGTCAAGTTATTTGTTGTTCCTAAAACCTGGATAGGACAAGACTTTTGTCAGGTAGTGCATAAACCGTATATATCTTATTAGTGCTGTCACATGAATTATCACATTCAAAAAAAGTTTGTACACATGGAGGTGTTGAGAAAATGTTTATTACAAGCCACCTTTTTTTCTTTTATCAGTCAGTTTTGAACTTTTATGCCCTTTATGAGCAAAAACATTTGGAGCTATAAAAGCTGTTTGCTGTTTCTCATGTTGGCAGATTTAAACAATTATAAACAACACAAAACAAGCATTTTGATGTTCTGATAGCAGTTCCTATGTAAAAGTATCACAGCCCTCCATCTGAGTTTCGTGCATCATTAATGACATCATGTGAAAACAACCTATTCACATTTTGAGTTTTTACTCCTCCAACCTATATGAACATATGCATTGTTTTTTACTTTTCTGAAATACAAAGCATTGAAGTGTTTGCTTAAATAACACCATGCAATTGACCCTTTCATCCACACAAATTTTAAGGATTTGTGTATTTTACCTGGTAAAGCATTGGACACATAATGTGTACAGCAGTGAGTCCTGGATTAGATCCCAGTGAAGAAAGACTAAATTGTGTTTCGCATAATCACACTCATTATTTACACCAACAAGAGGTCAAATAACTAAGGGTTGCATTGCTGTGCACAAACAACTTATTTGGTCTATTTTTTGCAGAGGAAACTGCAGTGTGAACTCGGTTTAAAAGCACTCATGGTCTTGATGTTTTATGCATAGATTGTGAGGCTTCTCCTTCAGTTTGGCTCAAGTGCTCATGACAAGAATATGCTGGGACACAGTGCATTAGACCTCGCAGCAGATGAAAGCATGAAAGAGCTGCTTTTGACATTTAAAGGACCTTTTCGTAAACCTGGCCAGACAACTGACTCTTCCGAAGAGCTTTTGACTGTAGAAGACTTGCAGCCAGGTAACAGTATTTGAATAGAAGACACAAATTAAGAGCAAATATGGCTTATTTTGACTTAGACATTGACATATATTCACCCATATGTTGTTCCAAACCTTTATAGATTAATTTCTTATATGGAAACAGTGTTTAATGTATGTTTTATTGAGTTGACTTACTGTTCTCCCCAACAGATCAGTCTTTACAAGAAAAAAGGATCAATTTTAGTGGCAACAACAACTTGCCCTGCCTTATAAGAGATGGAATCATCCAACATGGGGATAATCATTTAGAGATGACACTTGAGGTACCTCATTAACTATTTAAGTTATTGTCAAGATAGTTTGGTGTATTTCATAACGTTTTTCATATTTAGGGTTCTAGCCACAAGGCCTCTTATTTGGAAAATGGATCTATAAGAGATGCCAGAGGCAGAGTCTTTCCCCTTCTTGAACAGAGGGTTGAATCAGTACTGGAGCATCCGTCCTCAGATCCTGTCACCTCAGATTTTGCCTGGAAAAAGGTATAAGTCAACTGTTATCTATAATAATAATAATAGTTGTGATACATGGAAAGTACACTTTTAAAAATAAAGGTTTTCCTTTCAATTTATGTGAGGAACATTTAATGATGTGGTTTAGGGTAGTAACCTTTTTGTTTTACTTGACAGGTTGAGTATCAGTCAAAGTCACCGTGGAATTATTTAAATACAAAGAAAACAACTGAGGGATCAGCACAGCCTGAATGTTGCACAACCAACATCAGTTCATCAAAACCTGTTTTTAAAGGTTTGCCAACTGGACAAGTTTCACAGACAATCAATCATTCTCTAGATGATACACTCTTAGATTACAGATCAAAGTTTTAGTTTCACACATTCAAATTTGATCTCTTAATTACTCTATTATTTAATCATGACACAGATTTGTTAAAAGATTGATAAAACACATGTGAGCTTGATCTTTGACTTTCTTTGAGAAACTTCTGCCCTTTCTTTAAAACAACACAATTATTTTCAATGACAATATATGTTTAATACACTCACTGGCCACTTTATTAGGTACACCTTACTAGTACCGAGTTGGACCCCCTTTTGCCTTCAGAACTGCCTTAATCCTTTGTGGCATAAATTCAACAAGGTACTGAAAAAATTCCTTTGAGATTTTGGTCCATATTGACATGATAGCATCACGCAGTGGCTGTAGATTTGTCAGATGCACATCCATGATGTGAATCTCCCGTTTTGCCACATCCCAAAGGTGCTCCATTGGATTGAGATATGGTGACTGTATAGGCCGTTTGAGTACAGTGAACTCATTTTTATGTTCAAAAAACCAGTCTGAGATGATTATTATAACATGGGTTGCTATCCTGCTTGTAGTAGCCATCAAAAGATAGATACACTGATCATAAAGGGATGAACCCAAAGTGCCAAGAAAACATCCCCCACACCATTACACCAGCACCTTGATCCTTTGATACAAGGCAGGATGGATCCATGCCTACATGTTCTTAATGCCAAATTCTGACGCTACAATTGGAATGTTGCAGCGGAATTCGAGACTCATCAACCCAGGCAACATTTTTCCAATCTACTATTGTCCAATTTTGGTGAGCCTGTGCCAATTGTAGCCTCAGTTTCCTGTTCTTAGCTGACAGGAGAGGTCTTCTGCTGCTGTTGAATATCTGCCTTAAGGTTGGACGTGTTGTGGGTTCAGAGATGCTCTCCTGCAAACCTCAGCTGTAACAAGTGGGTTTTTGAGGTACTGTTGCCTTTCTATCAGCTGGAACCAGTCTGGTCCCTCTCCTTTGACCTCTGGCATCAACAAGGCATTTGTGCCCAGAGAACTATTGCTCACTGCATATTTTCTTTTTTTCAGTCCATTCTCTGTAAACCCTAGAGATAGTTGTGTGTGAAAATCCCTGTAGATCAGCAGTTTCTGATATACTCAGACCAGCCCGTCTGGCACTAACAACCATGTCACATTCAAAGTCACTTACATCACCTTTCATCCCCATTCTGATGCAGCAGATGTCAACATGCCTAAATGGATTGAGTTGCTGCCATGTGATTGGCTTATTAAAAATTTGCGTTAACAAGCAATTGGACAGGTGTACCTAATAAAGTGGCCTGTGAGTGTAGTTTGAAATACACTTTTACATGTTGTTTGTGTGTGTTCAATAGAGCCATCCAAAAGTGACAGTGAACCATCCAAATGTAGTGTTTTCATGAACATCAGGTCAATTCACTTGGTCAGAGATGAGGAGTTTTTTCCAAGCCATGTGATGGATAGATACTGGGATTTCTTCGCACAGAGTAAAGAGTGGACCTTCGAAACTTAATCTGCTTTTGTAGCCCAAGCTTTAGAGCTTCATAACTGTTTAAGTTTCTAAACTATTAATGTTTAAATTTAAAGATTATAAGATGAAATAAAAAGTGTTACTCGTAAGTTTGTTATTATGAGTAAATGAAGTTCTTGATGTGGAAATAAAAATATTTTCAGTTCTTTTTGTTTGTGTGTGTTGTGGCTTCCTCTTTAAATACCATTAGAGCCATCAATTTTTAACCATTAAAACCAATGTATTTTAATTGCTTCCACTTTTGGATTTGGTTGTTCTTTTTACACCAGATGAGAAGAAAGCAATCACCACATGCACCGCTTTTAATATAATTATTGCAATTATAGCTATTAACATATTCTATAGACATTTTTTTCTTTTCTTTTATGTATGTATTTATATCTGTTATAGGAACATGTTGAGTCACTTGACTTTGTGTTTCATGCGAACGCAAAGTTAGACTAGGGTTTAGGAACAAGCCCGAAAGGAGTGGGCGGACAGGACTTTCCTGACGTCCACGCCTCATCTCTTGACTGACTCAAACTCCACAAAGTGAAGTCAGTCTGAACTCATCTCGAGAGAAGCGCGGTGAAGCAGCAACTCCACGCAGTCTCAACAGCAGTTGTAAGTATCCAAGAGATCATTTAGAGTTCGATACGACATTTAGTTAGTATCTCGGTAGCATTGTATTATGTTAGTAGATTATACAAATGCAGACAAAAGGCGCTAAAATGCGCGCTGTCGTCTATTTACTCTTTACTAAGCTGTTCAATTTTGGTTTTGAATTGCAAATAGTAGTAAAATGTTTTCCTACGTTTCAGATTGAATGAAGGTACTGTATCTAATATATTTTATATGTACGTGGCGCCACATGGCTGCCGTTTTAACACTTGTAGCCTAATAATTCAGTTAAAATAGTGATTTTGATGATACCTATAATTAGGCTACTGAGAGCTAATCGTTAACCCTTGTTCACTGTTCAAATGTTCAGTGACTAACCTTTTGTTATGTTAGGGATAAAAAGTCAACTGAATTAAACTGTTGTAAAAATGCATTAGATAACATGTTTTTCAAATTGTTTGCATAAATCTGTTAATCAGCCTCAGTCCTGATCAAAGCTACTAAATTGCTTAGAAAATGGCAGGATTTTAATTCTTTAATTACAAACTTCATAAATGATGTCACGGATTTGTTGAAAATTGAAAGCACAAAATTACGCATTTTCGATATAAAAAGTAATTGTGAACTGGATTTTTTAAAAACCTTTTATCACAGTCTTGGACATAAGAATGATTAACAACATTGGCTTTGATACTCTTTAATCATAACCACACATGATAAATAAATGCACAGCCTTTGTTTTTGTTTACTCCATGTAGTTCTGAAAGCTGAGATGTATTTTCAGATTTTCTCAGACACATCAAGTGCGTAAAGGTTACTCTCACACACTCAGACACATACAGTACACACACTTTAATTTGCTGTTGTACTCCATATAAAATCCAGAAAGAAAAAACAGGCCTATCTAAGGGTTAATGGTGCCAACTGATGATCAACAAGTTTTACCTCTTCCCATCTGGATAAAACCATCAACATTCAAAAATGCAAGATTATTTAACTTCATAGCTTTAAATAAAAAAAAGTGGCTATAATGGAAGTTAATTAGGCAAAAACAGTCACCAACAGTAAATTACGGAGGGAAAAAATGAAAATCAGAAACAATGCATCAAAGCCAATTTTGTTTCACATGTCCAAGACTTGAGACCAAGATAAAAGGTTCAAAAAATCCAGTCCACAAATACTTTTTATATTAAAAATACAACATTATGTGTGTTTTTTATGGCAAAGTAAATTTAAAAATATTTTTTTCTGATGCATTTTCACAGCAGTTTATTATAATAGATGTTTTCATCCCGAACATAACAAAAGGATAGTAAATTGGCCCAGAGTGTATTGTTAAGTTAAAAAAATAAATAAATAAAATAAAAAGACTAAGCATTTTCTCAATATGTGTGTCAAAATAAGATTTGCCACCAAAAATTATTCCGCTCTCCGAAACACAGAAAAAGTTATGGCCAAATTAAGAAACAAAATCACCCCCAGAGTGGATGAAAACCTCCCCAAAAGTATATAAGTTTTAAATAATGGTTTATTAGACCCTCATACTTAGATAAAAGTTATGTATTAACTTTTCAGCATACTAGTACTTATTTATTAGATATTAAATAGACTTCGTATTCATTAGATACTTTATTCTGTAACCCATTATTCTTCCTTTGTCACACAGGTTTATATTTTTTGCAATGTTGAGAAACATTTGATGGCAGTGACACAAAACAAAAGACCGGCAGTGTGCAAGGTAGGCAAGTTCCCTGTTATATGATATGAACCAGAGTTTTTCTTGCTTTTTCTAACTATTTCTATCTGTGTACTTTTCCCACAGAATGAGAAGATGTGCTGTCTTACACCGGTTAAGATGCAAGTTCTATGTGTTTGTCGTGTCACTGTTTGTCGTGGTGAAGCTGGTGTACTTAAAGATTTCAATGGACAACAGTATCTACATCGAGCCCTATGGAGTTACACGTAGATCTCTCAAACCTCAGCCACTGGATGGCATTAACTGCACAGCCATTTATGACCTGGAACCAGTGGAAATTGGCAAGTCGCTGGAGATGAGGCGCAAAAAAATTGTGGAAGTTGATGATGGGAGAATTGCTTCGTTCACTGCGGATTGCAAAAGCTACATCGAACAAAGGCGCTACAATGAAGTCTTGGTCACTGATGAGGAATGTAACTTTCCAATCGCATACTCTTTGGTGGTGCACAAGAACAGCGCAATGGTGGAAAGGATACTTCGAGCCATCTATGCACCTCAGAATATTTACTGCATTCATTATGACCAAAAATCCACAAAGGATTTTATTGCAGCGATGAAGAACTTGGAGAGTTGTTTTCCAAATGTCTTCATCGCCTCTAAAATCGAATCCGTCCAGTATGCGCACATTACCAGACTTAAAGCAGATCTCAATTGCCTTTCAGACTTACTGAGTTCAGAGGTCAAATGGAAATATGTCATCAATCTGTGTGGTCAAGACTTTCCACTGAAGTCTAATTATGAGCTGGTGACTGAGCTCCGGAAACTAAACGGCGCAAACATGCTCGAAACAAGCAGGCCCAGCAAAGTAAAAAAGCAACGCTTTCAGTTTAGATACCAGTTGAAAGATGTATCGTATGAATACCAGAAGATGCCTGTTAAAACCTCCATTGCTAAAGACCCACCGCCACATAACATTGAGATGTTTGTTGGAAGTGCTTACTTTGTCTTGTCACGGGATTTTGTGACATATGTTATGAATAATCAACTGGCGAAGGATTTTCTTCAGTGGTCAGTCGACACATATTCTCCCGATGAGCACTTTTGGGCATCAATGGCAAGAGTTCCCGGAGTTCCTGGGGAGTTAGCAAGATCTGAACCTGATGTGTCAGACCTGAAGAGCAGGACACGCTTGGTTAAATGGAACTATCTCGAAGAGCGATTGTATCCAAAGTGCACTGGTACACACAGACGTAGTGTCTGCATCTATGGTGCAGCGGAGCTCCGGTGGCTTCTGGAGGACGGCCATTGGTTTGCAAACAAGTTTGATCCCAAAGTTGACCCTGTCATTATTAAATGTCTTGAGGAGAAACTTGAGGAGAAGCAACTTCAACAATGCTTGAGGAGAGTGTCTTAAAAGAGGCTTTCTTTGATTGAAATATGCATCTTTGCTGCTTTAATCTCTGTTCAAAACACCAGCAAGGTGAAAGGTTTAGCTGTATCTTAAAGTTATTCCATTCATGTTCATATTGCCGTCTGCTACATATTCTAGGTCTTTATGCTAATGAGTTTGGAAGTGCCTAACAGCTTCAGCTTTAATACTTCACACAAATGATGAATGTGTGTGGGAAATATTTATACATTTTAATTAAGTATTTATTTTAATTTATTTAACCAACAATGTCTTGCATGAAGAATCTATTGTTTACTGAATCAGTGGTGACAGTTTTACAACTTGATTGTATTTTTCTTTTGTCATTGGTTTTCAAAATAAACAATGCAGCTAAAATGATATGCTTTATAATATTTCCTGATTTTATATTTGATTTCAGAAAAGGCATTTCAAAATAGTCTGTTATTTCTGTGACATTTATAAATTATTTTATAACATAACGTTACAATTAACAACTTTCAAACAACAATTTTTTTTATTGAAATAGTTATATGTGGGCCCACATGGAATCTAAGTCTGTTTGTTTACTTGTGTAAATGTGTGTAAATTTATATTTATTCAGTTTTTTATTAATTTCAGTTTAATTATTGACTAATATGAAGATATTCATATGATTTGTTTACAATACAGTTTGTACAGTAATATTTTCTGTCTTTTAGTAGAGATATTATATGAGAAACTTGCTTTGATTACTTAATAAACAGGATCTAATTGGATATGCATTGTAAACTTTAAATACATTTTAAAAAGGTATTACTTTTTGTTTCATATATAAAGTTTTTAGTTATGATACTCCCAAAATTGTTCTGCATAAATCCGCAGATTTTTTTCATAAATTTCCCCACAGAAATAGCAAAAAATGTCCGCAGATTTTGTCTGGCCCTAGTTATATGACTGAAATGCTGTCAGTCAGTTATATAAATATTATTGAGCAACAGATCAATCCAATTAGTTCGAAAATATGTTTTGAACACACTGTTGCGAAATGAAAACAAATTATTGTGAAATGCTTTACAGTTAGCATTAAAGTGTTTTGCTTGCGATATTTGGCAATACTAAAAAATGTAAAGAAATAGTTCAAACCCAGGCTCATTCTGCTTACGTACCCCTATATAAACCTAAACCCAACTGTCAGAGTATCATGAGCATTACCTTAGTGGGAGGTACAAGTTCTACTACGTAGTTGATGATTGATCGCCTACACCTCCCGCTACGTATAGCTCCCCCAAACCCTAAACCCAACCGTCAGAGTAGCATGGGGGTTACAAGCTCCGCTATGTAGTAGCTCCCTAAACCCAATCGTCAGAGTAGCATGAGCGTTACCTTAGTGGGCAACAAGGTCTGCTACATAGTTGACGATCTCCTACACCTCCCCCTACCCTAAACCCAACCGTCACAGTAGCATGGGAGTTATCTTTGTGGTTGGTACAAGGTCCGCTACGTAGTTGACAATTGCCTACATCATCAAACTGCAGGCTGCAGTGAGGACATCTTGCAAATTTCTCTCCCATTGGCACCTGCTGTTTTCACTTAAATCCAGGCAGCTGTCGACTGACAGTACAGACTTACTGACAGATTGACCTACCGATCGACTAACCCCACCCTCCTCCTTTCCTAATCCCAACCAATAGTGTTTTGAAAAAGCAATGACTGAGCTGCGCACCCCCTTCTCTAAACCCTACCGTTTTTTTTAAAAAGTAACCCAGAAAAAATAAAACCCTCGCCCAATTTGATCCCATTTTTAGATTTTACCACATTCTCACCATTACTTACTTGTTTATTTTATTTTTTTGGCTTCTGTTTTTGTCTCACCCACTTTTTGTATTTTTGTTGAGATACCAGAGAAACTGGTAACAGCAGAGGAGGCAAGCAAAGAAAAGGAACGGCATCATAGCACTCAAAAATGAAATGCAGCCAGATAATTCGCAATCTCCAGAAATGTACAGAGGGTTACATTTTCAGAATGAGCCTATGCTAGATAGTTTACCCAAAACCTGTAATTCTGTCATCATTTCCTCACTCTTTACTTGTTTCCAACCTTTACGAGTTTCTTTCTTCTGTTGAACACAAGAAACTGGAAACCTGCAACCATTGACTTTCATAGTATTTGTTTTTCCTACTATGAAACTCAGTGGTTACCGGTTTCAGCTTTCTTCAAATTATCTTTTGTGTTCAAGAGAAGAACGAACCTCAAAAAGGCTTTGAACATCTTGAAGGTGAGTAAATACTCTTTTTTTAGGGGGGTGTTAATGATCCATTTAACATCTTATGACACCTGATATATGAAACAGCAGTACTTTTGTTTGTGTGGTTTTACAAACTTACTTTATTTGCTCATGTTGAGCTTCTATTTGGACAAACTGCTTTAATCACTTATATAAACAGGATATCTGCCTTATCATCAAAGTCATTATTTAACTTTGCTTTGTCGTTCAACTGAGACGAAGTTGGGCAAAGCTCATAGCAGTCTTTAAAGTGGAGATGCAAGACCAATAAGTAAGCCTTTGCTTAACAAGTCAATGGTTGGACAAAAGCACCTAAACTTTCACTGCAACAAGACACTCTCAAGTGCACACCCCGAACAAATTCCCAGAAGACCCTTTTTTTAAAACCGATATGTCCCCTGAGATATTTTTAAAACTGACATTTTAAAAAAGAGAACTATTCAGTCTTATATCCGTTCTAAATGTTGTCAGATACTGTACTGTAAATAGCTTGATTCTGAAAGTTAATTTTTATTCAAAGCTTGCGCCAATGTCCTGAGTTTGCCCTGTGCTACTCTGTCTCTGTTTATTACCAAAGGGTTGGAAACAGAGATCTTGAACCTACTTTTCTGAAAAGGTTTTCTGTTTGAGACGTAATTGTACAGCATGTTTGACCACTGAGGTAGCCAGCGAGGCTCGGTTTCCTCAATCTAAATGCAGTACGGCCGCCACAGGTGGCTCCTTCAGGGTGTTGACAGTGTAAGTTAATGCACCCTGGAATGTAGACGCCTGCCATTAAAGCCTCTTTGACCCTCTCAGATGCAAACAGTACAGTGAGACCTCTGTGTTGAGTTTTATTTACTTAATATCAGTTACTGGTCTACAACCAATAGTTTGACTAAGCTAGTTTACATGCAAAAAGACATCTTCATAAACACTGTGTGGGCTGCTGAAGCAGGGTTCAGCAGAGTCAGTGGCATGCTGTTTCCTGAAAGGAAAATAAGAGGAAATGTCTTCTAACAGATGAAGCCAAGTGATACACCTCTTTGCTTGTGGTTTAACAGGGGAATTAGTTCATCTTTAGCAATAGGATGTTAAACGGCTTCAAAACAGGAAACAGGCAGCTGTCACATGAGGGGAATGATTGTATATTATGTAAATGCCTCAGATTAGGGATAGTGAAGCTGAATGTGTCTGGTTGACATATTTGTTCATATACTGTATTTATATATTAAGTATTAACCTATTGTGAAAATGTCATGTGTTTTGATCACTAGTGGTGCACGTTTCAGCATGGATATTGCAATGTTCGAATCTGCAATAGTCACATCATGGATTTGCATGGTTAGGATTATAATTGGAGTCATTATAAGATTGGATATCATTTTTGATTTGTGTTCATCATGTCAATTATATTGAAACCATTTGGGCACAAGCACTTATGAAGTTTGTAGCTTTAATAACGATCGGCTGTAGCTATTGATTCAATGAAGAGTGCCATTTTAATTTTAAATATTGAATTTCTGCTTTTTCGTAAACCCCACAGAAAACCATAACCATTTAAATCGTGTTGTATTCATCCATGCTGAATTTTTTTATTACATTTTATGCAGATACAAAAATGTACTTCAAAATCATACTTATAAATGTAAAACCAGCCTGATCTCACAAAGAAACCTGAGTATTTTTTGTTTTGTCAGTTTATGGAGTAATTCCAGTGAAAAATGAATTATTTTAAAAAGGAGGCGTGGCAACCGTCATTGGGGGATGTGCAAATTGTACAAATGAGATCGTACGAATTCGTACGAATTAATCCCTAAATTTCACTTTTGCTTTTAATAAATAGTTTCTACACAAAGTAAATATTAATGCCAACAATAAATGTATTTGTGTTCTTTTTTGTAAATCCATTAAATGTTTTTATTTATTTGGTGGGTCATAATCATGCTTTGATGTGAACAAAACACATCTGTTAGTAATTAAAGACTGGAAATAACCGGCCTGATATCATGAGAATACGTATTTTAAGTTTTGCCAGTTTAGTGGCTAATTTGTACGAATTCAGTCGTATGAAATTGTACGATTTTAAAAAGGAGGCGTGGCACATAATCCCACCACTAAACCCAACCGTCATTGGGGGATGAGCAAATCATGCGAAATTGTACCAATTAGATTTTACGAATTCTTACTAATTAGCCACTAAATCAAAAAGTTACGAATTGCCGTGAAGTTGTTTTGAAATAACCATTTAATAACCGTTTTCTTCATTCTGCCATGTCATGACTAAAACACACATGAACTAAATGAATGCAAACTTGTCTTAGAGGTATTTTTGTAGTCATTCTGAAAGCAAAACATCATTTGCATGCATCATATTACTTGTTCTGCCACAGCATTTACGGAGCAGTGTTATATCTGTACTGTAATCTTCTATTCCTAAAAAAAACTAAGCTAGTTGCCAAAATTCAGATCAAATCGGCAAATATCAACAGATATCAAACACATGTAATGTATTTAAGGCTAATAAAATAAAAAAGAAAATAATCATTGAACCCATCATGTTTTTTTAATTAGTGTTTCTAAAGGAGCTGTTGACATGGAATTGAACCAGATTTTAGTAAAAACCCAAACAATACACACAACAATAAAACATAACAAAAAAAATCTGGAAAATTTGTTTTGTGTAATAACAATTAAATGACACAAGGAGCAAGTAGAAAACTAGTGAAATGAAATTTCGCCTCTCGAATAGAGTATAAATTCACATGTATTGATCACAGCTGATTATTTTCACAAAATTTAACAGAGTCTAAAAATTTTGTTCTATGGGTCTCGTCTTTCAGATCTGATCTTTAATTTTTATTTTATATTGGATTGAAGTCTGGTGATTGGCTGGGCATTCTACAGCTTAATTTTCTTTTTTTTGAAAGCATTTGAGATTTTTTGGCTGTATTTTGAAGCATTGTCTTGCTGAAATGTCCACTCAAGATGTTTTTTGTTTTGTTTCAAGATGTTGGACTGAAGCAGCTTATATTCATTTACAGTGTAACAGTGATGAAGGGCAGAGGGTTGCTGAAGAACTACTAAGAGATTACAGCTGCTGTCTGGGCTTTCACTGCCTTTCTACACCTC